ACATTGGCATTATGGTTGATGAACTTATACTGAAGAGAATTGACCTTTACTTCAAGTCAATTAAAATTTTTGTCAAGTTGATCAAGCCTGGTGCCCAAATTTTCTTGAATTCCATTGCAAACTTTTTTGATGGCATCAAGCAATTTCTTTCAACACTAGCCCAAATCTCACTAGCCCAAGTCTCAACTTGAGCTACTGGGGGTCTTGATGGGTAGAATGTTGGTGGGCTTGAGGGGTAGGAGTGGAAAATTTCTTTGGTGCTGGCGAGTTGATTTGGTGAGGAGATTGATGAGGAGATTGAATATGAAGGTTATCAGTAGTAATTAAGTCAGTATTTACATTTTTTATTTCCTCTTGAGTAACATCTTATACAACAACAACAACAACATCTAGCCTTTATCCCACTACGTGGGGTCGGCTACATGAATCCTTTTTCTCCATTGTGTCCTATTAAAAGTCAAATTCTCGTTTAAATCTAATAAAGAAAGGTCATTCCTAATATTTTCTAACTGAGTAACATCTTATAGGACATGAAAAATCTGCACATATTTTACATTCATATTGGTAGATTTGAAGATAGGAAGCAATTTAGTTATATCAAAAGCGCATCAAAAGCACATTGAAGGCACAACAAAGACGTAGTTAAAGTGCAGCAAATACATAGTGAAAGCGCAGAAAAAAATGCAGTAAGAGAGCAGTAAAAGACTGCTCCAGAGGACATTGTTCTTTCATTGTGCTTTCACTACGCCTTGCTGCGGTTTAACTACATAAGCAATTATTAATATTTTCATTTTTAATTTACTTGATAATTACAAATATCAATATGTACCTTCCTTTGTTTTAAGTAAGCAAAGAAATTCTTGGCCTTATCTATAGAATAGAAAATATTTGTATTTCACTCCCATCTAAGAACGCTTGGTCTTAAATCTGGGTACCTAGGTGTATTTACAACGAAGTGCTCCAGGAACTATATATGCATTAGATAATGTTAGAGCCACCTCATCAGTAGTAAATTTCGCATGAAATCGCACATAAAATGCTAAAAAAATAATGAAATTAAATAATAAATTTTAGTAGTACGCAGTAAAAGTGCAACAAAGGCACATCATTTTTTACCTATTTATCGATACAAAGTAAAGAAACTTCTAGAACCCTCGATTGGTCCTAGAGAAAAAAAAATGCCAAAGATTTTGAGAAACAACTTCTAGATAATCGAATGAGAAGAGAGAGTGAAAAGTGTAAAAATACCGGGTGAAAATTAAAAAAGCCCCATTTCTCATCTTTTAAACCTTTTGCATTCCAATTTTTAGGGTCGGTTGGGTCAACCAGCTAACAAGACAAAAAAAGTAATATACCAAAAGAAAAATCCATGTGGCATGTCCACGTGTCCAGTTTTAATTGGAGTTCGGATGATAGAGGCATAAACAAAGTGTTTTGTTAGTAGCATCACTTAACATTCTTTGCTTCTAAGTTATCAATGTTTAAAAAATATAATTGTGTTGATTTAGAGTTGTGGAATTGCTACACTTGGCTTGCATGCAGGCTTACTAATTTTGAAATGGTACGAGATGAGCTTCATTATAGATTTTTTTTTTTTTTTTAATATTAGCATGCAACTTTCATTCATGATCTATATGATAAAGAAATTATATTTTTTCTTCCACAAAAATTATATTTTTTCTCACACATCAACTGCATATTAATTGAAACCCAAATATGATCAACCTATAAATGGGATCTTAGAAGAAATAATCATAGGTTTCATAATCACCATATTTAACATATGTAGCTGACAAAAATTTTAGTTCTTCCCTTAGAAAAAGCTAACTAAACTACCTTGATGATCTATGTTAATTAAGGATTGAAAAAAAAAAATTTAGAGATTAGCTATATCTCTAGTAAACATACTCTAAAGTAAGACTATAGATATTTCAATTTTAAAAATAGCTCATTAAAAAAAATTCTTACAACTTTAAAATGAATAGAACTTAATATTACAATAAACATTAAAAAGCTTTAATTTTCAATTTAAAAAGTCTTCATAGTCTATTTAATTATTATCACAAGTGAATTAATTATGAAGGTATGGAGCAATGGAAGATTGCATAATGTAAAGCATAGGGTCGTTTGCAAGGAAGGGTTGGAACGATTCAGTAATGTATTTTTCTTGCTTGCACCAAAAAATTATATGATCCAACCGCAAGCTGAGTTTATTGATTTGCAACATCCGAAGCTTTATGATGCTGTAAATTTTAAAGAATATCGAAGGGTTCGACAGGCATCAAGATCCCTGACTGGCCAACTCCTCCCCTTCTTACCAACATCTTAGGTAGCAATATGTAAGTGATATTGGCAAAATATTATTGTCTTGATGTTTTAGTCTACATATTTCTTCTGTTCAACTTGTAAAATTTATGATCAACGGTGACTTTGTTAACTTTTTTTTTGCTTCTGAGGTTAAATGAAAGATTTCATTGGTGTACCACATGTTTTACCAAATTAGATGTACAAATAGTAAATGAATTATATATTGCTAGCAGTGCATATAAGAGAATTTATATTTTATTGAAGAAATTTTTGTAAGAATATTAATGTTCTTGTTCATTAGAAGGATAAAATTTTTTTAATTAATGTGACATTCCTTTTATTTAGCTCAAAAATATTAAAGGTTGTTACAAAAATCTTAAAGAAAATGGGTCAAAGTGAAGTCAAAATTACCACTATGAAAAATTTTGTTATTAATTTAATACTTATTAGAGTTCATAATGGTAGACTTAATAGTCAAAGGGATATTATAATATTATGGTAATGAAATTTAATATGATGATGGAAAAAAAAAGGTTATAATCTATCTTTGTTACAAAGAGGGGAAAATGGTGGTTGAGTAGTCCCTTAACTTGATAAAACGAAGACAACATGGTCAGAATAACATAGAAATACAATAGTGAATAAAATATACTACAAAAATTTTGTAGGCAACTGGATGAATGACATGTAGATTGCCTACACCATGAGTCCTCATCTTTTGAGAAATTATTACGCGTGGTTGTTGGACTGTTCGGAGGCGAATCAGGATGTTTCACATAAACCAATACACAGCTGGGTAAACAACAAAATGGTGATGTGGTGCATTCTGATTCGGCTCCGAACAGCATCCGGTAACCACACATAATTAGTTTGCTTTTGTAACAAAGCATATTATTTTGATTTTGCATAATAATTACTAAAAATGTGTTTAAATTCGTTCCACATTGGTATAAGTGGGTACAAAAGTAAGCCCAATGACAATTATAAAAACATAGACATAAGAAGGAAAATGAGATATGTGAGGTATAAGATGTCCACCAAAAATAAATGAATAAAAATATTAAATAAGCAAGCATGAATCAACAAGCATTTCAAAAAAATAAGATTTTTCGCAGCAGTTGTTAAGAGTGGTTTTAAAACCGCTGTCGAAATCCTATTTTAGCATAGGTTTTAACCAATACAATATACACCGATTTTATATAAGAAGCATATAAAACTAAAAATATTCATCCGAGTGTATTAATTAGTACATTAAGATATCATAGTCCATTAGATTATGGATTAATGGAAAATTAAGCCTTCAGAATGAATGTAGATCTCAAAAATATTGTGATTTTGAATAAATAAATCTGTGAGAGAGGTAGATAAAAATGTTAAATATATGACTATTTTATTAAAGAAGCAAATAATAAGATTATATAAAAAATTTAATTGTAAATAGTAACCTCAAAATCAAGCATGTTTTACTTTGAATTTTTCCTGGGATTACATAATATTTAATAGCTAACAACTTTCTAAACAAGAACTAGGTAACTAAGATTTATTTGAGTGATATGTGCATGTGCATGTGTGGAGAGAGATGAAAACTTAAGGTATAGTAAGGTTTCGTTTGGGACGACTTTTTTATTGCTTCCTAAAGCAGTTTTCTAGTATAAAAATTAAAATTTTTTATACTGAAAAGCCGCTGTAAGAAGCAGTAAAAAAGCTGTCCCAAACGAAACTTGAAATATCAAGCGAAAGTGCTTTGGCACACCAAGAAAAGGGGTCAATTGTCTTAAAAAAATTTCTTGTCATTAGAGATTGTGTGGAAGCAATTAAATGTATTAAAGAAAAATAATTAATACTTATAGAAACGTTTTTCTCTCTCTCTCTCTCTCTCTCTCTCACACACACACATATATATATATATATAAAAGCTCACTAAAGATTCAACAATTATCGTTCTCACATTGATATACAATATAAGCTTAAGGGAAGAAAATAAAAATAGAAGAAAAAATAAACAATTAAAACTAGCAATTTTTTTAGTGGTTTAGTCACTAGATCAACTTGCACTCCCCAAGGTCGTCCTTCTTATGAATTTTTCTATAAAGAAAGCTCCATTTTTTTTAAAGAAATGCAAATTGCATTAATATTAAGAAAATAAACAATTACAAGCTAGAGAGGAAAAAAAAAACAAAAAGTTATCCATTTCCAGACATATGGAAAGGAATCATTATTGAAAGCAAATAAAGCATAAGAAAAAAAAAATATTTGCCAAAAAGAAGATATCATAATGAAAATAAGATCCACTACTCCTCACTTTTAACTAATTGGGGTGTTGGGGACATCAAATTTTAAACAACCAAAAAGGTCGGTTAGTATCCCAAAGTTTCCAATCAGGTAAAATTTGAAAAATAAGAGGAGTCTTAAATTCCATTACTCTACTTTCATAATGCAAATAAAAAACTATGCTGAAAACATAAAACCCTAGTGGCCATAAAGCCACATCAAACCTAGTAAAACCACCACTATAGCTATACAACATAAAAGTGAACAATCTATCCAATAGGAAAAATCCTCTCGCCAATACTAAGCCACTTATCATAGATAAGTCTTCAAAATATCCTAAAAGATTGAGCTCCATGCTTCATTAAAACAGCCTTTCCCTTAGCAACCAAAAAAAGGGAAGATCACCACCACCAAGACTCAAATTCAAATAAATTTTCCTTTTTCTAGGAAAAACTTCAATAGGCTCTAAAGATTTAAGTTCTTTATTACATTTTATTTCACACATAAAAGAACTTAAAGCCTTATTACAATTAGCAAAGCTAGCAGGCTCAGAACTTACCAAAGGACCAATGTTTTGATTGGAAGGCAGATTTTGACAATTGATTACAACTCCTTTCATCTTCTGATGAGACAAAACTTCAGAGACATTTGACTTGAGATTAGCAATTCCATCATCAACATGAACATAATCAGCTCGAGAAATATAATCCTGAAATAGATTTAGCTCCATCAACAAAATTATCTCCAAAATCACCTTCAGCTCTATAGTCAGCTATCGAAAAGTCTTTAATCTCATCACCAGCTCCAGCAACCACGCCTAAAAGAACAGCTTCAGATAATGCTACTGATTTTAATACATATCAGAAAAGGATTCTGATATATCTTCAATTACTATCTCCGCTTCAGCTAAACGTTTTGTTTCTTCCATAGCTTCTGGAGTTACAGAAACAATAATCTCGTTACTATCAGCAGGAACATAACCTTCAGTATCATCATTAGGAACTACTACTTCATTAATAACTTTAACTTTATCCGAATTGATTTTTAAAGCATCAGTTTTAATACTTTCAACAATAATAGCATTATTAGAAACATCTTCAACTAATGCATTGTCAGACAATATTTTAACTGCAATAGAACCCACTCCGACAGCTTCAGAATTCCTGTCCGATTCTTCTTGTATTTTTAATTCACTTTGAATCCTAACCTTACCTCCATCATATATTTTATCAACTCCAGAATCATGACCAAATGCAGCAGCTAGATTACTTGTGAGAGCATCATTTACAAGAGCATTCACAGAAACTTTATTCTCACATATTTTTTTCAGCTTCAATTTTTTAAGATCCAGAATAGGCTTTGTAAAATTACATAAATCCTTCCGTCCCTCATTAGATTTAGATCACTTGTAAGATTTAAATCTATTTCTTCTATAGTTAACATGAATCCATGGTCCAAAGGAACAAGAGTCTTCCTTATTACATTCTCTAACAGAGACTGCAATATTTGATATAACCTTGTTAACACAATGAACAACCTGATCAACAAAGGAAGAATTCTTATTCTTACTGTAATCACCAATTAACGTGTTACAGATAGTATTTGTGTGTCCGATTCTACCACAATTGTAACAGAATGAAAAAATCTTCTCATATTCTACCCTTTGATAAAATCTTCCTTCAGATCCATCAATCCATATTCCAGCAGGAAGTTGAGCATCCAGGTTAATACAAATACAAACTCTTGCAAATTATCTTCTTCCCTAATTGAACATATTACCATCTAAATACAACCAATGAAGCAATTCTAGTGACATTAATTTCATCCCAACAATATAATGGCAAATGAGGCAATCAATCTATATAAGAGAAAATAAATCCTTCATAGATAATGGTGAGAATCCAGGATTCCAATTTTTCATACCAATTATATGACCAGTTACATGCCATGAGCTTCCACTGAAAATTGCTGCTTTAGCTTCTGTTGACTGAAAAGAACATAAAATCCATTCTTTACCCAAACCGGTTATATGAAAGGATCCAAATTTACTCCATTGATTCCTTAATTCTCTGCTAATCAAGGAATACGGAATAAGATTACCAAAAACTTTAATCACAATGGAATAGCGAAGCCTATGAATATTTTCCAACTCATTATCTGAATGAAGTTTCAAATCAACACCATCTTCAGACATTTCAACATTGTTTACTGAATTCACTTTAATATTGGCTGGTTTACTCCATGCATTAAGGGATTCTTGCTTTTCAACAAGATGCACATCATTAAGGACATTAATACCAACATCTTTATCTTCTGAAATCTTATTCTTCAACAGAATCTCATTGGAGTCAGATTTGTATTCTTCTTGAAAACGTTTTGGAAAGAATCTGCTTACCTTCAATTTAGGGCTTAAAGAAGAAGACATCTCTCGACATTGGGTATTAGAGATGAGTCACCGGAGACGGAAGAAATGACCGCCGAAGATGGACGACGATCATCTTTCGATGAAGAAGCTTCAAGATCGTTCGAACCAAAAATTGGAAAAGAAGAAGTTTTTTTAAAGATTTCTTTTCAAAATCAAAATTAGAATCAGACACAGAAATGATATTTTTCTCCTTTCCTTCAACAAGGCGAATTTTAAGAACAGGATTGACATTTCCCTCTCTAATCACACAAGCCATCTGCTTCAAAGAACATTACGATCAGATACATCTCCAGAACTATTCAAAGCTTTCAAAATATCCAGACGATTAACAGAACAAGCCGCCCAAGATGACGTAGATGGAGGAACGAAGGAAGGATCTGAAAGTACGAGATGCCTAGTGGTGAATTGGATAGTTAAAACTTCTATAATTAAAAGAAAAAAAAATTTATGACTTGATGTGGAAGTAAATTACATTCATAATAAAAAGATAAATTATTAATTTCACAAACGCAGTTAATTGCAACAAAAATAAATGTGAAAATAAAGTGCGAAAATAATTAAGGAAAGAAACACACCAGATTTATAGTGGTTCAGTCAAATCTTGACCTACGTCCACTCTCCGGAGGCATCCTTTGAGTATTGCACTAAGCCTTAAGTGACTTTCTTTTAGCCCCCACAACTAGGTGGAGAAGCCCTTACAAAATCACTTTCACATTCTCCGGTGCGGCGGAGGACCCGGGTCCTTTTACACCAATGAGATCTTCTTCTTCCCAAAACTTCCCTCAAGACGAATCTTGAATCCGATGGTACTAAGATGCAAGCTTGCCGGAGCAACTGTGTGAAATCCCCCCACACACTCCTTTCAAATCCCCTCAAAGGATCTTCTCCCTCTCTTAAACTCCACCATTTTCTCTCTCCCTTTCAAGTTCTCTCTTCAAGATTTTTCTAAAAAAACAAAGCTTCAATGGCTGCCAAAGAATCTTATAAAGTCTAATGAGAAAGCTTAAATAGAGGGTTTAAAAGAACCCTAGAAAATTAATTCAGCCGTCAAAGATCATAAAGTACGATCGCAAGATCGTATAGTACGATGTGCAAAATTTAATCTATAAGTATTGTATGATCACCGATTAGTATTGTATGAACAATTCAATTTTCTTATTTGTACTGTAATATGTCCAGTTAGTACTGTAATAATAGTTCAATCAAAATGCAGTTCATCTAGGATGAAGCATGGGACAACCAAAATTGCCTTTGTTGATCGTATATGGCTTTCTCCCATTGAGATGTTCAATTCAACTATCAGTTTGCTAAAATTGGAGTTGGGATAATCTCAGATTTATTTTTAGGGATTTTTAATTTAAATTTACCTTAAGATTCATACCTGGTGAAGACAAATTGCACTGAACTGATCATCCCGGGACGATGCCCCCTATCGGCCCGGACGATACCTACAGGAATTCATTTCTGGAGCTTCTGTACAGAAATCTGGAACAAACACACCACTGATCGTCCCGGGACGATCCTGGAGCAGATTTTGATATTACAGTATATGGCTTTCTCCCATTGAGATGTTCAATTCAACTATCAGTTTGCTAAAATCAGAGTTTGGATAGTCTCAGATTTATTTTTAGAGATTTTTAATTTAAATTTACCTTAAGATTCATACCCGGTGAAGACAAATTTTTTTATTTTAAAGTTAAAACTAGTGAAAATTTTACTTACGACTACATGGGTTTTAAAAAATTTTAACCTCTACCATTATGCTCTATTTAATTGTAAACAAAATATATTTTTAAAATTTCACATACATGCCTATAAGATTATGAATTTGTCTTTGTTGCATCCTGAAATATTTGCGGCTGTAGAGAAATATATAGTTTAATGTCTTAGCATTGTATGAAGATCCAACACGGAATTAGATAAGAGAGAGGGTGCAACATTTATGAAACACCGAAACTTTTATGTATAAAACCCCTGAAAAGGGGGAAAAACCATGAGGCCTAGCTCAGTTTGAATGAATTTACTATTGTTTGCAGTCGATTATGAATGAGGCCCTTCTTTTAAGGGGAATGCTTTGGCTTGATCTACATTATATGAAGTACATGATGGGAAAACAAAGAGCCAATATTGACATGTTTGTTTGGTCGGAAGGACCGTAGTCGATGGGCGACATAAATCAGAAGGACCGTTGTCTCACGACGGAGGTCAGAAGTACTGCATTAGGTAGAAGTTCAACAATGAATAGAAATCCATGATTGGATAGATGTCCGGCAAAGTTGGACAACAGATAGAAGTCCAACGTTGGATAGAAATCTGGCGACGAGTAGAGGTCTGTAATCAGGTAGAAGTTCGACGTCAGTCAGCAGCTAGGGAGAACTCCAGCGTTGATGGTATTCGAGAAAAAACTCTTGAGTTACTTGGAGATCAGACAAAATTCCAGCATCACTTGGAGATCATTTGGAGTTTCGGCGTCACTTGAAACTCGAACAGAACTCTAGCAGTGTTCGAGGAGGAGCTTCTTTCCTCCTTCTATTCTTATCTTATCTTCTTCTTCCTTCTTGCTTGGGTCCCCTCTTAAGAGAAATGAAGAGCTATTTATAGTTTTTTTAGGATGGCATGACCCATAAATAAGAGGAGGATCAAGGGAAAATGGGGAGTGGTTTCGATGGACGGCCGATATTGAATTCCTTGATCATGGACCGTTCATAAAATATTTAAAGGTCTTAATGATATCAGAATTTGGCGATCCTGGGCTCGTTGGATTTGTCTCGTCAAGCCGTCTGATTTGATTATAAGTGTGTCATGTTTGGAAACCGTTTGGTAATTCAAATTGTGGTTTGAACCTTCCAACAGTGCTTTGGTTCTTTGATTTAGACACATATAGGCTCAAATTGAGTTGAATTTGGTGTCGTTGGGTTTGTATTTTCAAGATGTTCAGTTCGACTATAAGTTTGCTGAAATTTGAGTTCATATAGTCCTAGATTTAATTTTTGAAGCTTCCAACTTAATTTTTGCCTTGAGATTCGTGCCCGATCAAAATAATTTTTTTATGATGTATCAGTTGTCCCCTATTTCGGATGTCGAAGCCTGTAGAGTCCAAAAATATGTGTCATTTATCTATAGATTTTTTAAATATGCTCCAAACCTTAACTTCCAAATAATTATTTTTTTTATAACTACACATGTTGTTAGAAATAAACCTTATGGCTTTTATAATGCAATGGATTTGCTCAAAATGAGGCTCAAATACCTACAACAAATATATTGAATTATTATATCATATGTTATTAGCTCATGAGTTTTAATAAGAGCTTTCAATGCTATTGTGTAAGATGGAATTTTTATTTCAACCTGTATGCCGCCACCAGTATGTAAAGATGTGTCTCTTGGGGGGCCCGTCTCTCAATTTGCATAACCCGCTATTTTTTTTTTTTTGTGGTGGGACCCATATCCTTTTTTTAGAGAGAATTTTTTTTGTTCCTTCTTTTTTTGTTGTCCCCACATCTCTCTTTTTTTAGAGATTTTTCAAAGAGAGCAAAAAAAATTTTTAAAAGAGAATATTCTTATTTCAAGAATATTCATAGAATCTATTTTGAAATATTCCTACTCTTGGAGAATATTCCTCCCTCTCTTTCCCCTATAAATAACCCCCTAAGGCAAGGGCAAAATTGCTCCTCCTCCTCCTTTCTTCCTCTAACTTTCTTAAAGTTGAGGCTTTACATTATTTTTGGTATGTGATTTTTCCTACGTAAAATCAGTGTCCCTCTCCTTGTGTAAATGTCAGAATTTCTGATCATTCTCATTTTCTTCCTTCTTTTTTTAACTTTCTTATAGTTGAGGTATTCCATTATTTTTCATAGGTGACTTTTCCTACGCAAAATCAGAGCCCCTCTTCTTATGTAGAAGTTAGAATTTTTGGAGCTATTTCTTTTCTTTCTCCTCCCTCATCTAACTTTCTTATAGTTGAGTCGTTACATTATTTTTTCGTAGGTGACTTTCCTTACGCAAAATCAGTGCCCCTCTTCTTGTGTAGAAGTTAGAATTTTTTGATTCATTCCTTTTCTTCTCCTTTGGTCTTCTTCTTACATTAGAGGCATTCCCCTATCAAGCTTTATGCCCCTCTCTTATGTAGAAGGAGATTTTTTCCTTCTTATTCATCTCTTGTGTTCTTCTTTTTACATTTGAGGTATTCAATTGTCACAAATAGGTGACATTCCCCTATCAACCTTCAGTGCCCCACTCTTATGTAGAATGAGATTTTTTTCCTCCTTATTCGTTTCTTGCATTCTTCTTCTTACATTGGAGGCATTCCACTGTTGAAGATAGGCGGCATTCCCTTATCAAGCTTCAGTGACCCTCTCTTGTGTAGAAGGAGATTTTTTCCTTCTTATTCATCTCTTGCATTTTTTTCCTTACATTAGAGGCATTTCACTATCGGAGATAAATGACATTCCTCTATCAAGCTTCAGTGACTCTCTCTTGTGTAGAAGGAGATTTTTCCTACTTATTCATCTCTTGTATTCTTTTTCTTACATTGGAAACATTCCACTGTTGAAGATAAGTGGCATTACACTATCAAACTTTAGGGTACCTCTCTTGTGTAGAAGAAGTCGTAATGAGAGGCTATCTTCTTAATAGATAACTACTATTGATAGAAGAAGATCAATTGCTGCTAGTATTTGAGAAGAACTGGCGGTAATAATATCTGGGAGGAGAACTAGAAGTAATGAGTAGACGAAGAGAATTTTGATGTTGTTTGATTAAAAGTTTATCGGTGATGGACGATCGAGCTGAAGTCCATTGGCAGTCAATTGCCGAGTGTAAAGCTGAAGGAGAAAGTTCGAGGTTATGCTATTAGTAGTAATTGAGCAATAATTCGATGATGGATGATACAAAATGAACGATCAATGACAGACTGTTTGATCGAAAAATATAGTTTTGAAAAAGTATTAATTTTCTTTGGGAAAGTTAAAA